AACCGTCCGACCCTCCATGTGTCCGCACATCGTTTATATTTCATGGGGTCATCTGCGTGTTGCTGCTCCCCTCAGCCCTTTCATCGGCGTGCGAGTGCGGCCCGCAGAGCACAGTCACTCGTGTGTGTGGGGACTGAGAGAAGCACGCAGACATGACGGGAGTCGCGTCTCTCCATCGGGAGAGTGAGCGCAGCAAAAGAAAAAAAATCATCAGGAGGGAGAGAAATGCTGACAGGACTGCCAGCGCGTGAAATGAACACGAAAAGCAAAAAGGAAAAAAAAACACGGCGGCAGGGTGTGGCTGTGTGTGTGTGTGGCGCTGCGGGTGTCTGCCCGCCCTGGCCGCAAAGAAAACAAAACAAGAGGGAAAGAAATGTGTGCTCCGCCCCACAGGCCCTCGTCGCACGCCCACACGTCACGGCTCCCTCAGCGCGCCGTTCGTCGCGGCCCCTCCTCATGGGTGCAGCAGGCGAGGCGCACAGGGCCGTCGTCATGAGCGTGTCGGTGGGTGTGCGAGTGGAGCAGTTGGGCGGGAAACACACGGCACCCCTCACAGGAGGAGTGCAGCAAGAAACAATTAAAGAGGGAAGAGTAGAAAAGAAAAAACGTCCATAGTGATTGCCCCCAAAAGCAAAAAAGAGGGGTGGGGAATGGGAAATAAAAGAAATTTTAAAGAAAGAAAAGAATTTTGAAAAAAAGTAGCAAACAAAAAATTAATTTAAAATACGGAAAAATAAAAACGCACAAAAAGGAAGTAAACAGGGAGAAAAGTAAATAAAAGTTATTTAGGAAAAGAAATTCATTGCCAGGTGTGTGTGTGTGTGTCGGTGGTGGGGAGGTCGCAAGTGTCCCACGCGGCAGCCAGTCACTCTTCACAGAGCCGCAAACCCCCACAGTCCCAACAGAACGAACAGCGATGGCAGCAGTCCGCTCTCACGCATACTGCCGGCATCGCTGTTATGCCCCTGCGACACATTTCCGACGTTGCTGCTGAGTGCCGTAGTATTTACGTCCCCGTCCTGTGGCTGGACCTCTTCCTCCTGCCCATTTGCTTCTTCCGTTGGCTCCCCACTCTCACCAGAGCTCGCGCCCGCCTCAGGATTCACTGTGGGTCCATCTTGCCCCATGGTGTCAGTGTTGGGAGCTTTTTTAGCTGCAGCGTCGGGATCATCTACAGGAGTTTGAGGTGATCCATCCCCTTGCACCGTATTTCGAGCTTCTGTCTCCGCCGCTGTGTTACCATCATGCGAGGAAGCAGCATCCATCGTTTGAGTTCCATCGGGAGATGTTCCTGACGTCACCTGCACTACGGAGTCCTCTTCTGCTGAGGAAGTACTGACAGTGGACACCGCTGATGCGGATGCGCTGCCTGCACCACGTACCTCCAACGATTCCTGTTCCTCCTGTCGTCCACCAGAACGCTCATTCGCGCTTCCCTGAGTGAGCCTGTTCATCTGAGGTGGAGTAGGAGCTTTATTCGGGTTGAGGACGCCAATCTCCGCGTTATCCAACGGGCGGTTGTAGAGCAGGACGTTCGTCGCCGTCACAGACACGCCTTCTTGGCTCCGTGTCTTGTCTCCATCCCCTCCAATGTAGAAGTGGGAGATCCCTTTCGAATCCGTATTTCCCAATGCACACGGCGTATCCCCACACGCTTACCATCGACGTACGCGGAGCCATGGATGCCGTTCAGCAGCAAAATTACCACGTGGTCTTTCGTCTCTGGTCCCAAAAATACGCTGAGATCCTTAGAATTTGTTTCGCCACCGCACAGCAACTGCCACTTCTTTTCACTGTCATATGACAACTCCATAGGTTTGTTTTCTCCTTCACCGTCCATCTTCGCACCCATCAATGGAATATTACCCTCCGTCGGCTCACCGTCGATGGACACCGTCGCCACAAGAGTGAAGTTGTAGTTCGCAAAGTGGTACAGCTGATTCTCCCCCTGCCTGCCAACGGGCCACTCCGCCCACGCTCCCTGGAACGTCACCCCATCAAAAGCCTCTGTTGCCCCATCATTCTTATTTACTGTGGCGTTCACTCCAAGGTACTCGTCCCTCCATGTGTTATCAGAGAAGTTGCCGGACAAAAAGCCAACCAGCCCATCCGTGATCTTAACATCAGTAGTGCAGGCATTGCCAGGTGGCGTAACCTCCTGAGCAAGTAAAGTGGGGCACAGCTTGGAGACACGTTTGTCCACTTCCTTCCACGTCTTCACCACCTCCTTCACCCGCTGCAGCTGCGCAGTCAGACGCACAGTAACCATATCATGTGATAGTTTGTGATTAACTTTCTTCTTCTTCTCGTACAGTGCAACCAACTCCTCCTGATTATTATTATCTCCACTTTTGTACAACAGGGAGCTGGCGGTGACATCCTCCTCTTCCTTCCCGGATACCGGCCCAATATGAACAATGTGCGTATTGTCCGTCAGCCAAAGATGGAGTACACTCTTTTCCTCGTTATCTTTCTCAGCTTTCTTGGCATACACCGGCAGAGTGACAAGCATCGCTTTTTTCTTATCGACACCATCATCTCCAAGAGTCGCTGTGATGAACCCGCTCCCAACGATTTCAACCTTTTCACCCTTTTTGTTTCCCCACACGCGCGAGAGTGTCCCGAGTGCCTCCGTCCACGACTCCCCCTTGTCACCGGACTCGTACACCCTGCGGCGGCCACCATCACACGCAGTCATCATCATGAGTTTTCCCTTCTCCCGCTCCACGACGGAGGGATCACCGCAGCCACCCTCAGACATCCCCTTCGACAGCTTCCAACTCTTATTATCCGGAAAGTATATGAACAGTGAGACAGTGTATCCCCCCCCAGCTGTATTTTCTTCATCCGCCTTCCCCGTCCTATACTCCTCGGCTTCCATAGGGAACAAAAGTGTACCGTCCTCCATCTTAACACCCGATCCACCGCTCACAAGCAGTGCTGTCACATATCCATATTGTTCGGTATTAGAAGTGATCGGGAGAGCGTCAACATCAGTCCAATAAATTCTTTTGTTACGGGCATCCTCACCAACACTGACGTTCCCTCTCGCCAGCAAAAGTCCCCATTCATCCGTTATATCGTCCTCAGCAGCAATGGCAACTGCACGGTCGTACATTCCAGCAAGCATGTAAACATCACTTCCATGCACAACTGTTGTTGGTTTATCCACATGTACTGGCGCTCCGCTTTCAGAGACAGACCGATCCACTGCCTGGTCGGGGCATCCCTCTTTTCCAGAAGGACATTCCCCCAGTACTTGTGTCTTCACTTCAGTTTTATCCAACTCCTTGCTTGTTTGTTCACCAGTCCACTCCAGGAGCTCCGAGGCAATGCCAGCAAAAACGCCTCCTACCTCCCTCGTGAACAGCGCCTCGGCAACGGCAAACACATCACCATTCACCTGAACAAGACTGGGAAAAAAGAGCAAATTCACCGTTCACTCATCTGTCGTGTCTCTCCAAACAAACAATTTCCTCTTTGGAATTTCCGAATCTGTCAGCGTCTTCTCAGTGGATGCAGCCCCACCAGTGTTGCAGCACATCATCACAAAGAGAAGCAGCACCGCGGAAGTAAACACATGCCGGGACATGTTGGGCCTCGGCGGCTCACTCTCCCTTCCTTCCCTCCTCCTTCCGCTGGATCCGGTCACGCGGCGACGGTTGTGTGTGCGGGGTGCCTTCACTGCAGCAACACGTGAGAGCATATAAATATGTGTGTGTGTGTGCTCTGTTGTTGGTCCTTTCAGAGCCTTCGAATTTCACAGTAGCAATTCGCGCTTGTTTTACTTCCTTCCTTTGTGTGTGATTGGGAGAGAAATAAAGAGAAAACAAGCCAAGAAAAGAGGATGAAACAGTGAGCACCGCCACCCATCCACAGTGAGTGGCACCATCATCCCCGCCGCAGTCACTCCCAACAACAACAACTCACGCACACAGACACACAGGACAGGAGATAGAAGAACACTGCACCGGGAAAACACAGCGACTGCCACCACCAGAAGCAGCAGGTGCCACGGCGGATGAGTCTTCCATGCGAGTGCACTCACCTAGCAACACCAGCACACAAACAACCAGCGGGATGCAAGAGAACATGAAAGTCCTTTGAAAAGTCCACGCGCTGCCAACTGTCATTTTACTGTTCTCCCTTCCGGCGCACCCTCAAAAGCGCATCACCCCGCACAGGCAATGAAGCCCAATCAGTGGATGGAAAGCAAAAAAGAAACTTCGGCACGTGCAGCTGGGCGGGAATCTGTCAACAGTTGTCCCAGGTACCCTCAACGCCACACCACCAACTGGCTGCACGCCGCCAGCATCACAACCACAGCACGGCAACAAAACAAATAGCTGGCTTCTATCCTTCCTCCTCCGGAAAATGCGTCCGCAGTCAGAATCTTGTGCGTGTGTGACTTCTCAGCGCTTACACCACTCCACAGCGTTTATCGTTGTGTGTGCTTGTGTTTGTGTTAACGCCAATGCATACAGAGCAGCTGTGCGGCACAAAAAGGTCCAAAGAAGGAACCGACGAAGAGAGAAGCGGATAGCACACACGCAAATTAGTCATATCATCACACACAAACACACGCATGCAGCCCGCGGAATACGTGCACTCAACCACAAAACAAGCAATAAAAGAAAAAACAAGAAGCCGAAGCGTGGGACGACCAGCGCACACACTCTCATTGCTCCCGTAAAGCAAAACACACACACAGGGAGAGAGAGAGAGAGAGGTCGCCCACTCAATGCAATGGAAACAAAACAAAACAGAAACAGTTACGGTGCTCCGCCCATGCAGCCAGGCAGGACGGCAGCGGTGCGTGTGCTGCAAAAGAGAGCACCAACGGGCCTGCATGGGTGTGCATGCATATATACAATGGGCACATTATGTGTGTGCTTCGTGGGGTGAGGTGAGGGCGAGAGTCCATGCAAGGGGACACACACACAGAGAGTGAAGGACGAGTGTGTGTGTGCGGGCGGTGCACGGCTCTCTCTCACTCACTCTCACGCGGTCACCACCGCAGCAGCAGCCGCACACGCAACAACAAGAAGAAGCAAAAGAGGGGAGGTGGTGTGGGAGACCGCGGTGCTGCCGTCACTGTCGCCAGGTGTTGTGTTTATTTGATTAGTAGCGTTTGCACCAGTTATGGTTTCTTGTTCTTTGCCTGGAGGATCCTCTTGATTTTGTTTCTCTCGTTCCTCTTCTGTTTCATCATCCTTTTCTTCCCCAGCTCTTTGTTTGATTCCTGTCGGAGTTTCTCCTGCATGTGTGCGTTGGACTTCCTGCTGAATATCAGTGGAGTTTACTTTCGGGGCACCTGAGACATGTGCAGCCTCTTCTCTCTCCTGAGCCCGATGTCTTTCATGACCCTCAACACCTTCCTCCCCTTCTTTTTCTTTTTCATTAGAACCATCACTGCCGTTGTGTTCTCCCGAAGAATGATCTCCTGCAGAATTACGTGGTGGCATGTCTTCAACATTTGTTTGTTGTTCTTTTTCCTGCGTCAGTTCATGTCCTTCTCCACTTTTTGTATCCTCTTCTTGGACTGGATGTGGGTTATCTTGCGGCTGTGGTCCACTTCCTTCTTTTTGTTTGGTTACTGCCGCTTCACCAGCACCAACTGTTTCTTTTTCTGACAGGTTTTGTGTTCCACTTTCGACTTGGCGTTGATTTTCAGGTTTCGGTCCACTTTCATTTACATTTTCCAGTTTTTCATCAGCGGCTTGTGATTGTCCTCCTCCTCCTCCTGGTGGTGGTGGTGGAATTTCTTCTTCTCCTGATGGAGTTATTCCTTCATCCTCATCTTCATCCTGATCCTCTTCATCAGAACCTGCTTCTTCTTCCTTCAAAAGTATTTCTTTATCTAGTTCTCCTTTTTTGTCTTTAGCCTCAGGTGCTTTTAAGACTGAGTTTTTTGAAACTCCCGGCACAACTGGTGGTGTTTCCTGCAATCGTTCACCGTCACTCGAAGAAGCACCAGGCGGAGTTGTACCTGACCCCTCCTCAGCCAAACCGTCGGCACCGCACCACAGCACGCAGAGGGCACACACCAGCAGCACACGGCCAGTCATCATCATCGCCATCACTCCTGTCACTTGCGTTCAGCCTTCAGCACAAACTAACTCCCGTCAACACAGAGAAAAAGCAAATGTTGAGAGACAAGTCACACAGCCACGCACAGTGACAAAAGGCAGCAGCCCAGCAACGCACACACAACATATGACAAAGGGAATCAGTAAGGGCAAGAAAAAGTGCACCGCCATGCAAATCAGAATTTATTAAAAACAAAAAACCACACCCAAGGCCCTGCTGCGCATGCATATGAGTGTGTCTGAGACGCGTTCAACGTGGTGGATGTGGGAAGCATCGCGGAGCACACAGCAGGGCAGCGGAAGCAAACAAAGCAAAAACGATCATCATAATTGCTCTTACTTTATACATCGAACCACAGTAGACGCACACATGTCCCCGTGGCTGAGTGCTGGCACGCACAGCCCATGCTCCCTTTTAGCCCACAGCGGTGCACGCCAGCGCGGATACGGCGAGCAGCAGCGGAGCACACACCCACGCAGAGCTGCTAAGGCTGCCGTCCATTTCGCGGAGACGTGACGGTGCGCGGGTGGTCGTCGTAGTTGGTGCCTCTGCACTGTTGACCGCATCACTTGGTGCCTCTGGCGCGGCGGTGGTCGTAGTCGTAGTCGTAGTTGTGGTTGGTGCCTTTGTGGTTTTGGTCGTCATGGTCGTTGATGCAGTCGTCTCCTTTTCCTGTTCTTTTTCGGGTACAATCGGCCCACTTTGTGCACCTGACGCAACGGTTGGTGCAGTAGGTGGCTGTAGCGGAACGCTAGGACTTTGTAGCTGTGACTGACCGGGCGCACCTGAGGCACCTTGATTGTTTGACGCCCCACCGGATACCGTACCTTGTGTTTCTTCCTTACCGTTCGAAGTACCCGGTTTCAGTACCGTGGGAGCACTTGGATTTAAAGAAGTGGTCCCCGGACGTTTTCCCTCTGGTGTGGGCAGTTCACCGGAGCCATTTTCTTTCACGTCATCAGTCGCTGTCATGCACACGGACGGGCAGCAGCACAGGGCGAGCACCAACAGGGCGCACAGCAGACGGCACGTCATCATCGTGAGTGTGGTCGTTCAGTGGTGTGGAGCTGATCTGCACAGTGAGGGACATGGAGAGCAACAGGGGAGACGAGAGGTGCGGCAGACACACACACACAGAGAGCACACCACATAAGGAGAGGGCAGCAGCCAGGCATGCACCGTACGCCGCACACCACGCACGACACACACTCCAATCCACGGCAACAAGCACACACACACACAGCCCTGCCGCAACACCAACAACAACACACATATGGAAGAAGAAGAAACCGAGCCTGTTCGGGCTGGACGCGTTGAGGCGCAAGTTCAGCCACACGGACAAGCACACGTTCGCTGCGCCGTACTTCTTGCAGCACCCATGCCGTGGATTGAGAGGATGTGAGGGTCTGCTCCAAGCACAACGAGGACAACAAGATGCGGTGCATGACGGCCAACCTGATCCGCGTGTGGTTGCAGCGCATGGAGCACGTGCGCCAGTACGCGTTGGGCGTTGCGCTCATGTTTGGAGAGGAGAGGCGGCACGACATTGTGATGCTGTGTGCTTTGCGCGGCCGGGGCATGCCGGCGATTGTGAGGGACGTGGAGTACACGGAGCTGTTTGACTGAGGGAGGAGATGGCGGACGTCGCGGCGCAGCGGGAGCGCTTGACGGACTGCCTGTGGTGGGAGGGGCGCGTGTTGAAGTGAGCGTGGCGTGCCTGTGAAAGCCTGAGGGGAGGGAATAACAGTAACAGTGACTGTGGGAGTGTGAGGAACGGTGCACGGGCGAGGAGCGCTCCTCTTTTATTTTGTTTTGGTTGTTGTTGAACCGCGTGCACCTAATTGTTGTTGTTGTGGTGCGTGACTCTCATTGCTGGATGGGACGCTCCGTGGCTGTTTGACTTGTCTCTCTCTCCTCTTGTTGCTTTCACTCTGCGTTGACGTGTTGTTAGTTTGTGCTGAAGGCTGCACGCAAGTGACAGGAGTGATGGCGATGATGATGACTGGCCGTGTGCTGCTGGTGTGTGCCCTCTGCGTGCTGTGGTGCGGCGCTGCTGCGGCTTCTCCTGCTGCTGAAAAGGGGGATGCCGTCACGGAGGAAGATGAACAGAAAAGGAATACGGAGGTTCTGCCGCCCGGAAGAAAAAATGAATCACCGGTGACTTCAGTAGAAGAATCAGCAGGTACAACAACAGGAGGTGAAGAGACGCCACAGAGTTATGGAGTTGATATTCCGCTGCCTAATAACCTAAATTTAGATCAAAAACAAGAAGGTGAGAAAAAGAAAAAGGAAAAAGAAGAGGGTCCGGAACACGGCGAAGATGAAGAAGAGGGAGAGGAAGAAAGAGAGACACGCGAAAAACAACCTACACCACCACCACCACCTCCACCTTCGGGACAAACATCAACACCGACAATAAATGGAGACTCAGCAGGAACTTCAAATGAAGCAAGAGCGAAAGAACTGCCCAGCTCGGATAAGGACTCCACACAGGAACAAGTGCTCAAACCGCCGGCAGCAGAATCAGCACCAGCAGCAACGCCACAAGTAAAAAATGAAGACCCCGGCTCTGCAGATGTCGTTTCAGTGCAACAGGTACAGAAAGCTCAAAGCGGCCTGGAGTCAGGGAGTGAGTCAATAAAAGAAGACAGTGCTCTCACCACGAACAAACAACAGGATGGAACATCTGACAGCCATGCCGAATCAACTCCAACATCACGTTCATCAGCAAAAAGTGTTGCCGCCAGTAATGGCCCTGACGAGGCTACTGAAGAGGAGATTTCCAATAAAAATACAGCACGTGTTGATGCAGTACCGGAAGCAGCACAAGAAGATGGAAATAAAGATGACAATAAAAAAGAAACACCAATAAAAACCACAGCTATTGTAAATGGTACGGCTCCAACTGGCGACAGTGACGGCAGCACCGCTGTCTCCCACACCACCTCCCCTCTTTTGCTTCTTCTTGTTGTTGCGTGTGCGGCTGCGGCTGCGGTGGTGGCCGCGTGAGAGTGAGTGAGAGAGAGCCGTGCACCGCCCGCACACACACTCGTCCTTCTCTCTCTCTCTCTGTGTGTCCCCTTGCATGGACTCTCGCCCTCACCTCATCCCACGAGGCACACACATAATGTGCCCATTGTATATATGCATGCACACCCATGCAGGCCCGTTGGTGCTCTCTTTTGCACGACACGCACCGCTGCCGTCCTGCCTGGCTGCATGGACGGAGCACCGTAACTGTTTCTGTTTTGTTTTTATTGCATTGAGTGGGCGACCTCTCTCTCTCTCTCTCTCCCTGTGTGTGTGTTTTGCTTTACGGGAGCAATGAGAGTGTGTGCGCTGGTCGTCCCACGCTTCGGCTTTTTGTTTTGTTTTTTATTGTTTTGTGGTTGAGAGCACCCATTCTGCGGGCTGCGTGTGTGTGTTTGTGTGTGATGATATGAGTAATTTGCGTGTGTGCTATCTGCCTCTCTCTGCCGTTGGTTTCTTTGGACTCTCTTTTGCTGCACAGCTGCTCTGCAAGTGTAGGCGCTAACAAACACACAAGCACATACACACACACACACACACACACGCCATGTCACACACGCTGCGGAGAAGAATGAACGCTGGGAATACGCATTCACAAGATTCTGTCTGCGGTTGCTTTTGCGAGTTAGGAGGTCGTGAGTCCGCAATGCCTCTCCGTGTAGTGATGCGGGCGTGGTACTAGTGCGCACAACTAGTGATTCGTGCATTGTTGAGATTGCCTGGGACGATTGCTTATTGAGTTCTTCCAACAGCTGTACCTGCCGACGTGTCTCTCCCGTTGTGGATTTGGCGACGAAGGATTCTCAGGCTGTGTGGGGTGATGTGCGGGTACGCTGGAAGAGACAACAGTAATACGACTGGCGGCAGCGCATGGGTGCTGTGAAGGGCGGTTGTGCTTTTTTGCATTTCGCCGGTTACTTTGTGTGCGGGCGTTGCTCGGTGTGTGCTGACGCGTGAAGAATAACTACGTACCCGCTGTGACTGCAGCAGCTGCTGGTGGTGGTGACCATCGCTGTGTGTTCCCGGTGCACTGTTCATCCATCTCCTGTTCCGTGTGTCTCTGTGCGTGAGTTGTTGTTGTTGGGAGTGACTGCGGCGGGGATGATGGTGCCACTCACTGTGGATGGGTGGCGGTGCTCACTGTTTCATCCTCTTTTCTTGGCATGTTTTTTCTCTATTTCTCTCTCAATCACACACGAAGAAGGAAAACAAGCGCGAATCCCTACTGTGAAATTCGAAGGCACTGAAAGGAACAACAGCACACATACCGCCCACAGGCACACATATTTATATGCTCTCACGTGTTGCTGCAGTGAAGGCACCCCGCACACACAACCGTCGCCGCGTGACCGGATCCAGCGGAAGGAGGAGGGAAGGAAGAGAGAGTGAGCCGCAGAGGTCCAACATGTCTCGGCACCTCTTCTATTCTGCGGTGCTGCTCCTTCTCGTCGTGATGATGTGCTGCGCCTGCGAAGCTGCACTCGCGGAGGAGAAGTCGACTGATCCAAAGTTTGAATGGAAGGGCATCACTGAGGGTGAAGGTGTAACTGTGGAATCGTTGGGTGTTCCCGGCCTTTTGAATGTGGGGAGTGACGTGTTTGCCGTTGCCGAGGCGCAGTGCAAGCAGGGTCAAGACAGCTTTGCTGGCATTGCATCCCAAATTCTCACCGAAAAAAAGGATAACACACCGGAGGAAATAATGAATGATGCCAAAAAGGACACACAAGTTCTGGAGGAAGGCACTACCGCAAGCAATAAAAAAGTAGATGTGAGCCGACCAACAACAGCTGTGAAGGGAAATGACATTTACATGCTTGTTGGAAAATACAGCCGGACAGATGCCGCTGATGCTCGGGAGAGTGGTGGAGGTGACTGGGGACTTTTGCTGGTTAAAGGGAAAGTCAGTGCTGCAGAAGGTAAAAAAAAAATCCAATGGAACGAGAACCAGAGACTGGCCGGCACTCTCTCTGATGACGAACAGGATTCCTTGATGCAGCTTTTTAGTGGCGGTGGATCGGGTCTTAAGATGAATGACGACATGCTTGTGTTCCCAGTGGAGGGCAAGAAGGAGAAAGGTGAATCAAATGACGGAAAGACTGTCTCACTGCTCATATACACTTCGGAGGATTCGAGTTGGAAACTGTTGAAGGGGATGTCTGCCGGTGGCTGCAGTGCTCCCTCCGTCGTGGAGTGGGAGAAGGACAAAAAACTCATGATGATGACTGCGTGTGATGGTGGCCGCCGCAGGGTGTACGAGTCCGGTGACAAGGGGGAATCGTGGACGGAGGCACTCGGGACACTCTCGCGCGTGTGGGGCAACAAAAAGGGTGAAAAGGTTGAAATCGTTAGGTGCGGGTTCATCACAGCGAATGTTGAGGACAGGGACGTGATGCTCGTTACTCTGCCGGTGTATTCCAAGAAAGCTGAGAAAGATAACGAGGAAAAGAGTGTACTCCATCTTTGGCTGACGGACAACACGCACATTGTTGATATTGGGCCGGTATCCGAGAAGGAAGATGAGGACGCTGCCGCCAGTTCTCTGTTGTACAAAAGTGCTGATAATAATGAGAAGGAGGAGTTGATTGCACTGTACGAGAAAAAGGAAGGCGGTGATAAAGACACAGCATCACTCGGTATGGTCTCTGCGCGTCTGACTGAGCAGCTGCAGCGGGTGAAGGAGGTGCTGAAGAAGTGGAAGAAAGTGGACGACATTGTCTCCAAGCTGTGCATCTCTGAGAGTGTTGAGAAGGATATCTCAACTGACAGTGCCTGCAGTGCTGATGTTAAGATCACGGACGGGCTGGTTGGCTTTTTGTCCGGCAACTTCTCTGATAACACATGGAGGGACGAGTACCTTGGAGTGAACGCCACAGTAAATAAGAATGTTAGGGTGGAGCAGGTAGAAAGTGGTGTGAAGTTCAAAGGGCGTGGCGCAGGAGCGGAGTGGCCCGTTGGCAGTCAAGGGGAGAATCAGCTGTACCACTTTGCGAACTACAAATTCACTCTTGTGGCGACGGTGTCTATCGATGGTGAGCTGAAGGAGGGTAATATTCCATTGTTGGGTGTGAAGCTGGACGGTGAAGGAGAAAAAAAACCTATGGAGTTGTCGTACGACAATGAAAAGAAGTGGCAGTTTCTGTGCGGTGGCGGACAGAACAAGGAGCACAGCCGCGATTGGGATCCGGAGACAACGAAGAAAGACCACGTGGTAATTTTGATACGGAACGGCAACCATTTCTCCGCGTACGTCGATGGTAAGCGTGTGGGTGAGGATGCGCAATGTCAATTGGAAAATACAGGACCGAAAGAGATCTCCCACTTCTACATTGGAGGGGATGGAAACAGTGCAGTGAGCACAGGGATCGAAGAAGACGTGTCTGTGACGGTGACGAGCGTCCTGTTGTACAACCGTCCGTTGAATGACGCAGGGATTACTGCGATTAACACAAACAAACATTCTATTCAAAGGCTGACAGATCTGAAAAATGTGGCACGAGATACTCGTTCACCAGATGTAGGCACAAAACCTACGCTGGCAGTCGTGTCCGAGACCACTCGTCATGGGCAACAGCCGTTGAAACATGAACCGTTGAAGGGAGATGAAGGTGCGGGTAGTGGTGGTGCATCCAATTCTGCAAAGACCACTATGACGACTCACTCAGTGGGGAGTCTATCTGCAGAGCAGTTGCCGTCGGGAGGATCTCACGATGGAAATAAAAATGTGAATGTCGATTCCTCGTCTAATGGTAACCCGGCGGTGGGGACAGTGGGTGGAGACACGACGCAGGGAAATGGATCACCGCAAATTCCTGTGGGTATCTCTGACACAGCAGATGCAAATACTCCCACCACTGAGGGCGAGGGGCAAGATGGACCCACATTGAATCCTGAGGCGGGCGCGAGCTCTGGTGAGAGTGGGGAGCCAACGGAAGAAGCAAATGGGCAGGAGGAAGAGGTCCAGCCACAGGACGGGGACGTAAATACTACGGCACTCAGCAGCAACGTCGGAAATGTGTCGCAGGGGCATAACAGCGATGCCGGCAGTATGCGTGAGAGCGGACTGCTGCCATCGCTGTTCGTTCTGTTGGGACTGTGGGGGTTTGCGGCTCTGTGAGGAGTGACTGGCTGCCGCGTGGGACACTTGCGACCTCCCCACCACCGACACACACACACACACCTGGCAATGAATTTCTTTTCCTAAATAACTTTTATTTACTTTTCTCCCTGTTTACTTCCTTTTTGTGCGTTTTTATTTTTCCGTATTTTAAATTAATTTTTTTGTTTGCTACTTTTTTTCAAAATTCTTTTCTTTCTTTAAAATTTCTTTTATTTCCCATTCCCCACCCCTCTTTTTTGCTTTTGGGGGCAATCACTATGGACGTTTTTTCTTTTCTACTCTTCCCTCTTTTAATTGTTTCTTGCTGCACTCCTCCTGTGAGGGGTGCCGTGTGTTTCCCGCCCAACTGCTCCACTCGCACACCCATCGACACGCTCATGACGACGGCCCTGTGCGCCTCGCCTGCTGCACGCATGAGGAGGGGCCGCGACGAACGGCGCGCTGAGGGGGCCGTGACGTGTGGGCGTGCGACGAGGGCCTGTGGGGCGGAGCACACATTTCTTTCCCTCTTGTTTTGTTTTCTTTGCGGCCAGGGCGGGCAGACACCCGCAGCGCCACACACACAGCCACACCCTGCCGCCGTGTTTTTCTTTTTTCTATGCTTTTCGTGCGCATTTCACGCGCTGGCAGTCCTGTCAGCATTTCTCTCCCTCCTGATGATTTTTTTTCTTTTGCTGCGCTCACTCTCCCGATGGAGAGACGCGACTCCCGTCATGTCTGCGTGCTTCTCTCAGTCCCCACACACACGAGTGACTGTGCTCTGCGGGCCGCACTCGCACGCCGATGAGAGGGCTGAGGGGAGCACCAACACGCAGATGACCCCATGAAATATAAACGATGTGCGGACACATGGAGGGTCAGACGGTTGAAACACACGCAACCATCTTTTTAATTTTCTTTTCCGGGCAAAATATATGCAGACAGTTTGGTGTGGCGACACGGCAGCCAGGCGATTTTTAAATTTGTGTGGAACAGTAATGGACGATATCTTTTTCATTTATAATTATTTTGTGTGATGGGGTTTATATAAGACGAAGGGGAACGTTTTCTTTTTTTTTAAATAAATCTTGTGTGGATTGCCACTGCTTGGGCTGCAGTGCAGTCATGAGTTTGAGCGGTCTTCTTCTTGTTGCTTCCGCCATGCGTCTCTGCTGTACAGTTTTTTGTTGTGCGTCTCTCCACATACTCTGCTCCCTCTTTTCTACTTCTTTGCTTTGTGTTTCCGCAGGCACACACAACCACACACACACAAGATGCACATTGCAGTGGATTTGAATGCTCCTTTTGTAGTGCATGCTGGCAGTTGCGTGTGGCGGCTGTTGTCTTCTTCCGTGGCCATGAGGAGAGGGAGAGGGAGAGGGAGTGCGCACCCCGAGTCTCTTTTCCTGCGGGTGTGGTGCACCGCGTGTGACTGCGTTGAGTTGGGCTCCGTTTCCCATTGAGGGCGGGATGGCTGGAATTTTGGTGCCGCGTCATGGATGGATGAGGGTTCGCTTGCGCGTGTGGCTGGTGTGGTGGGTGCTCACTCCGTGTGCGTTGTGTGGTGGCCGCGGGTTTTTGCCATTTCCGTGGGGCTGTAGCGATGAGCTGGGGGAGATGGTGGTGGATGTCTTCTCCTCCTGCATGGTGGGTGTCTGCTGGCGTTGTGTGCCTTCCTTGCGTGGGTGCCGTCTCGTGGTGTGTGAACTGTGCGGCTGGGCCTGCTGCCCTCTCCTCATGTTGTCTGCTCTCTCTCGCTGTATCCGCTGCACTCCGTCCCTCTCCCTCATGTTCCATTCCTTTTCCTTCTGGCTCACGGATCAGCTCACTGACTCCAGCGACTCCACTGCGGGTGACGATGACTGCGATGGTGACGATGGTGACGGTGCGGCTCCGTGTGGTGTGCGCCGTGTTGGTCCCTGCGCTCTCGTGCTACTGCTGCAATTCTGTATGTGTGACGGCAGCTGGGAGTGCTGGACATGTATCTGGTGATGCGGATGCGGTGGTTGTGCCGGTGGATGTGCCGTGTGCTCCGAGTGACGGCAGCCCGAGCTATCGCGTGTTTCTATGTGCGTGTGTGTGGGCGTGGAAGAAGTGTTCTGCTGCCGGTGCTGAGGCTGACTGTGAGAATTATACTTTCAGTGGCTTTGATGTGCGCATGCATAGCAGGAATGGTGAGCTGGGTGCTGTGTGCCATGTGGCCAATGCAGTGCACACATGTAGCAACTGTGCTGCCAGCTGTGCAACGGAAGAGGAAGGGGCCACCGTTGCCTTCACGATGAATGTGACGACACATAAATACGCCGGCCCTTATGAATTGTGGTGGCGTCAATTTTCCCCCGATGGAACCATCCATCCGCCTGCACGGAGCGGCGATGCTGACCAGACGGGCATCTGTCAGTTGCCGCCACCCCGTGAAGGGAGGGATGACACAAAACCTGGTGGGACAACTGCGCCGCAAGTGAATGCTGAGCCGTCACGTCAAAACGAGGATTGGCGACAGTCTGCGGCGGCTGACGGACCCAACACCGTCGTCCAGAGTCCCGCATCCAACACGGCGACCAACACGTCCGAGACGAGGCCTGAGTTTGCCACCAATCCGAGCGAAATGATGGTCCCGAATGCATCCACGAAGAGGCCTTCCTTTGCCAACGGTCCGAGAATATTAGTGGCGTCGAATGCATCCGGGATCATGTCTGTCACTTATGGCGGCAGGGAACACGTTGCTGCGGATAACACGTACGAGGTGAGTGAGCGCAACGCCACTCGGCACAAATCTCCTTTCCTCCGAAAATGGCGTTGCGGGCAGTGGATTTGTTGCTGAGGGTGATGCGGGCGGATTGAGTGAACGCAATGCCTCTGGACACGAAAACCACAATTACGAGAATTCACCGCGCAGTATTCCGGGAGCGGCGTGAGTCCCGACGACTGCTTTGCCCTGCTCTACGACGCGAAATTGACACTGCGAGAGTTAATTGTTGACAGCACTGTGCGTGTGTGCATGTATTGTGAGTTGTTGCTTCTTCTGGGATTGTGTGGGGTTGTGGCGGTCTTTTGAGCCAAAGAGTGTGGAATTGCGACTCCTCACGGAGAACATTTGCCGCGTTCCCTGCGTGTTTTATTTCATTATTTGCATTTTGCTGTTGTTTTTCGTTGTTCTCCTGGAATGATAAGCAACCCTTATTTATTTAATGTTTGGTCGCTGCACACTGTCATGGGTGACAAGTTTTTTCCTCTTTGTTCTGTTTTTTGTTGCCCACACGCGGTGCTGGCGTCACTGCTGTGCGTCCCACGGACTGCACGAAAGGAGGAGCGGAGGAACAGGCGGGATGCCGCAATGAAGTGTGAGGGATGTTGTGTGGGCTGGTGGAATAGTGCAGGTTTTTTTATTATTATTTTAATTTCCCTTTTTTATTTTTATTTTGGGAGTCATGCCGGACTCTCACTTTTTTTTTTTTTTTGGTAATTTCCTGCGGCTTGTTTCTGTTTGTGCTGTGCTCAATGTCACTGTGTGTCTCTGTTTCCCGTTGAGTGTCCCTCTGCTGGCCGTGCTGTTGACATGCCTCCATTTGCTTTTCTTCCCGCTAGGAGCATCGATGGTCCGCGACGATGATTTTTTGTGTTCCCATTGCGATGGCACGAGGGTGACTGGGCGCCGGCCTGCTGAGTGCACTCGGAGGGAGCGGATGGTGTGCGCCGTGCCTCACTGTGAGTGTGGGTGCCAATCCGTCGGAGAAGAGAAAATTGAAGGACTGCGGTATTTACTTGTATCCTTCCCGTCCCTCTCGTTGCCGCCGTGCGTGTGTGCTGTGCGCATGGCACTTTACTGCGGTGCGACGTGGATGGCGTTGCTTTTTCGTGCCCTCGTATGTCTGTTGGGTTTCTCCTCTCCATGACACCGTCCTTTTGTGTGGGAGGGTGGACGGAGTGGAGATGTGTGATGGTGGCCGTTGTTTCCGCACATTCGGATCTTCCACACACATTGCTCCTGTCAGCAGTCTCTTGCAGCGCCCATGCCGTGGATTGAGAGGATGTGAGGGTCTGCTCCAAGCACAACGAGGACAACAAGATGCGGTGCATGACGGCCAACCTGATCCGCGTGTGGTTGCAGCGCATGGAGCACGTGCGCCAGTACGCGTTGGGTGTTGCGCTCATGATTGGAGAGGAGAGGCGGCACGACATTGTGGCGCTGTGTGTGTTGTGGCGGCCGGGGCATGCCGGCGATTGTGAGGGACGTGGAGTACACGGAGCTGCTGGACTGAGGGAGGAGGTGGCGGACGTTGCGGCGCAGCGGGAGCGCTTGACGGACTGCCTGTGCTGGGAGGGGCGCGTGTTGAAGTGAGCGTGGCGTGCCTGTGAAAGCCTGAGGAGAGGGAGTAACAGTAATAGTGACTGTGGGAGTGTGAGGAACGGTGCACGGCGAGGAGCGCTTCTTTTCTGTTTTGATTGTTGTTGAACCGCGCTCACCTATTTGTGGTGGTGGCGCGTGACTCTCATTGCTGAATGGGACGGTGTGTGGCTGTGCGACTTGTCTCTCCTCTTTTGCTTTCACTCTGCGCTGACGGGGTGTTAGTTTGTGCTGAAGGCTGCACGCAAGTGAGAGGAGTGATGGCGATGATGATGACTGGCCGTGTGCTGCTGGTGTGTGCCCTCTGCGTGCTGTGGAGCGGTGCTGGCGGGATTCATGCGAGAGACATCGAGAACAACGCAGGGGGAGGTTGTGTGACTTCTGGAGTGTTCGAAGGGAAAACATCGTATTTGGCGAGCGGTTGTCATAAAACCACGCCGACGCTGCCTTTGCGGTCAGCGTTGCCCATCGCTGCCTTACAAGCCGATAACAGAGAAGAAGAAGGCTCTTCTACAAAAGGGCCTCATTTGAGTTTAAATGGAAAGTTGGGTGCTGGTGGCGGTTCCCCTTCGGATTCCTCTCCTCCTGGTGATACTTTTTTATCCTCTACTCCCTTTGAGGGTGGTGTTTCGACGCCTCACAAGAATAATTCATCAGGAACAGGTGGGCAGTCAGATGCAACATTGTCCCCAGGGTCCAACATGGACGCACTGAAGACGTCAAACCTCGAGGGAGATCAAGAGACCATTAATAAAAAGGATAAAGCAGCCGATTTGTTGAATGGTGAGGATAAAAGTAAAAATGAGGAAGTTCAGGGCCGCAGGGCGACGGAAGGTCATTCCCCTGACACATCCGTCACAAAAATATTACCACCACCGCCACCTGCAGCAACACAACCAGGGCAAGCACCAACGTCACAAGAGCCGCCGTCAGCACAAATAACAAATGAAACAATTAAACCGGAGGATTCAGCAGGAGGAGACATCACACGAGTACAACCAATAACGCCACAAAGGCCAGAAGAAGAAGAAGCAGAACCCGCACCCGCAGGAAAAACTCCGGAAGAGAAAGAAAAAGGTACCAAGGAAAAAGAGGTTGATGAAAAAGATGAAAAAGAACATGAACAACCTCAAGCGCAACAGCAACAACAAGTGCAGTTTGAACGGGAAAAAAAAGTACCACCGCTTGCCTCACCTCTAGGGGGATAAGTAACGCAAAGGTCACTATCAACCGTAAGGTCACAGGAATTGCAACAGGAGCGCCTCACCGCCGGTGCAACAGAGCACCTGGAAAAAGGAGTCCCTTCGGTTTCTACGCAGAGTACATCAAATGGAAGAAACAACTCACCATCGCAATCCGCTACTCCAATTGCTGATGTTACTGCTGTCACAACTGAGGCAGACAAGGAGAAGGCGAAGTCTCGCAACGATACTGAATCCCCAGAAGCGGCAGTAACAAAACGAGGCCAAAAACATGAAAAACCCACAGAAAATGACAAAAAATTGACGACCGATGAAAACGCTGTTGGTAGAAATGATACGGGGACCCATGACGACACCGACAGCAGTACCGCAGCAACTACAGCTGTGGGGACTGACATTGGCACGGAAGAAACTCTGCCCACCAATCATCCGAGCCAACCCTCCACTGAAGGCGCCAGACAACCCGGAAGTACTTCCGATCGTGAGGCTACATCAACCAACAAATATGATACAGTCTCTCAGAATGCAGGATCCACAACAGCGCCAACCACAAACGCCACAACGGGTGACACGGCGAAGAAAGGCGACAGTGACGGCAGCACCGCGGTTTCCCACACCACCTCCCCTCTTTTGCTTCTTCTTGTTGTTGCGTGTGCGGCTGCGGCTGCGGTGGTGGCCGCGTGAGAGTGAGTGAGAGAGAGCCGTGCACCGCCCACACACACACTCGTCCTTCTCTCTTTCTCTGTGTGTGTGTCCCCTTGCATGGACTCTCGCCCTCACCTCACCCCACGAAGCACACACATAATGTGCCCATTGTATATATGCATGCACACCCATGCAGGCCCGTTGGTGCTCTCTTTTGCACGACACGCACTGCTGCCGTCCTGCCTGGCTGCATGGGCGGAGCACCGTAACTGTTTCTGTTTTGTTTTCATTGCATTGAGTGGGCGACCTCCCTCTCTCTCTCCCTGTGTGTGTGTTTTGCTTTACGGGAGCAATGAGAGTGTGTGCGCTGGTCGTCCCACGCTTCGGCTTCTTGTTTTGTTTTTCATTGTTTTGTGGTTGAGAGCACCCATTTTACTTTTTGAACGGCGGCATGCTGTGACAGCGGACACTTTAATCTTCTCTTCTTATATTCTCATATTGTTTCATTGTTTCAAAAGTGTCACCCTCTTGTATTCTTGTCGGGCCACCAGGTTTTCTATACGCGTGCCATGCGTCAGTTGATCCACGTCACCCCGCAGCCACCAGCGCTGCTGTTACTTCTGCTTGTGATGATGTCTGTGATGTGTTGTGCATGCGGGTGCTTTGCTGTCACCCTGACGTACCCTTTCTCCCTCTGACAAGGCGATGCGTGCCGCCAGCGCCAAGTTGATCTCGGCTGTGGCGAATGACGTGTCCTTTTGGAGCAGAGGGTGCGTCGCAGGCACACACCGTCTTTGGGAGGAATGGATGGGCGCCCATCCGCATCAATGTTTCGACAAGGGACCTGGATGATGCCAGGAAGTATTGCAGCTCAGAGCGGCATTACGCAATGGATTCATTGTGTGATAATTGTGACTGTAACGATGACGTTTTTTTCTACTGAGAAAAGGAAATTTTTCTTTTTGTTATACGTTGCGGCCACTATCCTTTGATAGGCTGAGGACTGTCCGTAGAAACGTGGCCAGGTTTTCCGCCCAAAACGGTGCTATCGTGCGAGAGGGGGTTATCCCACATCATGTGCGGCAGGGCCTCCCGTGGACCATCAGGCGGCTCAGCGGCTGGTGGTGGTTGCAGCAGAGGAGTGGCTGGAGGGCTATGGTTGTCATTGGAGCTTGCAGAGGTGCTTTGTCCGTTTTTTGCCCGTTGATACGCTTGACATTTACGGTAGTGACCTGAAAAGCTTGCACTCCGCGGCGATGCACTCGCTCAGCCCTCGTGCCGTTTCGTCACGGACAGGCGTCACCACGTCTGGGGTCGTGCGTCGTGGCGTGGATCCAGGATGACGTGGGTGGTGTGCCAGCAGTGCTGACAGGCGGCGGTGGACCAGTCCTGCGCTCACCCCTAGCAGCATAGAGAGCAGCGGGAGTGGCCGGCAACTCTCTCTGTGCGGATGCGTCCTTCCCGTGTTTGCGGATGGGAATGTTGTCCCCCGTTTCCCAGGAACATCGCAGGCTGCCGTCAGAGAGGTGTTGATCATCTTTCTGTGAGAACCGCGGGCAGCGGGTACAAGATGGTGCAGAAACGTACTCAATACGCCGCCGGAACCAGGGGTCAAGCCAGGCAAGGAGTCGCGGATGGCGAGTCAAGCGCACACGGCGTGAAGAGTAAATCTATATCGCAGTCACCAGGAGGCGAACGCAAGCACAAGTGTGCAGACCGCAGTGGGGATCGCAGCACGTGCGACTCGGACAGTGTGACGGACGAGCGGTCTGCCTGCTGCCAAGGCTGAGCACAGTCGCAGTCCCAAGAGTACCGCAGCACAGCCGATCCCAGTGAGCGGGGACGTGGTGCCGCCATGCCTCGGGGTATCACAGGTCTGGGCTCCAGAGGGTACCAAGCTGTTTCGCACGGACCTCTAGCTGCATGGAGAAGCCACGACGGAGGGCATGATTGCAGTACTCCCGTTTTCGGACAACTTCATCTCGGGCAGTCTTTCTCCCGGTGAGGCTGTGTGCGCGTTCCATGCTGCCGCTGCAACACACTCGGCATGCTCCATTCCGTCCGTACTAATTCCTCTGGAGCTTTCACGGCTGCCGCGCGGTGTGGTGCGACTTGCCGCCCGTACGGTGCCTCGGTGCATCCCCAACCATGTGGTCACAGTGGCCAGAGGCGTTGCACACGCCGAGGTGGATGCATTCCAGTCGATTTCACGCAGAACAACAGCGACATGTTTTCGTCGTGGCAGCATGCGTGCCAGTTGCGGGATGTCGTCCTCCGTCCCTGCAGTGTGGGATGGCAGATGGTGGTCCGAGGCCATGTAAACGGGTGGACGTTTAGTGGGAGACACGCAGTACGCGTTGCGCAGTCACGTCGGGAAACAAGACGCTGCGGCCGCTGATCCACGTTGCCTGTGCCGGGTCATCGGACAGCTCAGAGTCCATGCCGCTTGGGGTGGCGGCGAGGTCCTCTACTGCCGTCGTGGATGGTGAGCGACCGTCACGCAGCTCGTAGTGTGAATTCAGGTCGCAAATAACCGCTGCGGAGCCTAAGCAACGAATGGTGCTCGCAAAGTGAGCAGCGTGGGCAATTTCCGGGGAAAGCTGCATAATTGCACCACGTACATGCTGGGGCTGGCCGGTGGGCACACGCGGAAGGCGGTGGCCTCCAGGCAGTTAGTGCCAGGGAGCGACAGGCGCTCGCACGGCAAGGTGTGGCGCACCAGAATGGCAACGCCACCACCGCGCCCAGTGCAGGCCTGAAGAAAGTCATTATGGCCAGAAACTTTTGTCGCTACGTTGCTACGGTCATTTATTTCCTGGAAAAAAAACGATGTCAGTTTGATGCTGCTCCCATCGCGCAGCAAATGCAATCTTTTTTACGGACGAGAGGCTTGCAATGTTAAACTGCCAAATATTGATGTAGCCATCCTCCTCGGTGCCAGGGTTCTTGTGGACGTCACCGCAACGGGTGATATCAACGGAGCGATCGCTGCGAAACGGTCGTGCAGTTTTGTCCGACAGCCTGCAGGCAGACCGCCTCACCTCCCCGCACCGGGCATGGCGTGGAACCTTCTCGAGGGGTGGAGTCGTCTTCTTCTCCGTCGTGCTCGCAGCAACGCCCTGCTGCGGAGTTCCTACATGCAACCAGAGCCCCAGCACCGCGACAAGGTGTGGACCCCATCGCCGGGGCCAGGAGAAGCCGCAGTGCCCCCTGCTCTCATCAGGGATCCTTCTTGACGTCTTGATGCGGACAAGCGCCCATCGGCTCTTACAAACGACGCCGCACACCTGCGACACATCCTGCGCTGTGAGGGGCACGACCCTCACCACAACCGGAGTCGCCCACGCGCCGTCGGTACGCACGGCATCGAAAATAAAAAAGCAGGGATGCGTCAGGGTGACAGCAAAGCATCCGCTAGCAATCACTTCGCACGCATCACCACAAGCAGCACCAGCAGCGCTGCAAGCCACGGGTTAACGTGGACCAACTGACGCATGGCGTATGTTTAAAAAAAAACTTAGTGGCCTCACAAGGACAAAAGAGGCTGACACTTCAAAACAAAAAAAACGATATGGGAACAATAAGAGAAGAATAAATTGTCCGCGGTCAAAGCACGTCGACAATAAAAAAAAAGCGGAATGGGTGCACCCAACCACAATAAGACAAAACAATAAAACAAAAAAACAAGAAGCCGAAGCGTGGGACGACCAGCGCACACACTCTCATTGCTCCCGTAAAGCAAAACACACACACACAGGGAGAGAGAGAGGGAGGTCGCCCACTCAATGCAATGAAAACAAAACAGAAACAGTTACGGTGCTCCGCCCATGCAGCCAGGCAGGACGGCAGCAGTGCGTGTGGTGCAAAAGAGAGCACCAACGGGCCTGCATGGGTGTGCATGCATATATACAATGGGCACATTATGTGTTTGCTTCGTGGGGTGAGGTGAGGGCGAGAGTCCATGCAAGGGGACACACACAGAGAGAAGGACGAGTGTGTGTGCGGGCGGTGCACGGCTCTCTCTCCCTCACTCTCACGCGGCCACCACCGCAGCAGCCGCACACGAAACAACAAGAAGAAGCAAAAGAGGGGAGGTGGTGTGGGAGACCGCAGTGCTGCCGTCACTGTCGTCCGCATTTGCAATAGCTGTGGTTTTTATTGGTGTTTCTTTTTGATTGTCATCTTTATTTCCATCTTCTTGTGCGGATTCTTTTACTTCACCATCAGCTGTTGTATTTTTATTGGAAATCTCCTCTTCAGTAGCCTTGTCAGGGCCGTTACTGGCGGCAACACTTTTTGCTGATGAACGTGATGTTGGAGTTGATTCGGCATGGCTGTCAGATGTTCCATCCTGTTGTTTGTTTGTGGTGACAGCACTGTCTTCTTTTATTGACTCACCATCGGATTCCAGGCCGCGTTGAGCGTTTTGTACTTGTTGCACTGTATCGAGATTTGCAGAGCCGAGGTCTTCATTTTTTACTTGTGGCGTTGCTGCTGCTTTTAATGGTGACGCTGCTGCTGTTGTTGTTGCTGCTGGTGCCGACGATTTAAGCACTTGTTCCTGGTTGGAGCCATCATCAGCAATGGGCAGTTCTTTCGCCGGTTTTTCATTTAAAGTTCCTGCTGAGTTTCCATTTATTGTCGTTGGTGGTTCTCCCGGAGGTTGTGGTGGTCCTGGTGGTGGAGGAGGTGGTGGTGGTGGTCTTGCATCTTCGCGTGTCTCTCTTTCTTCCTTTCCATCTTTGCCGTCTTTTGCATCCTCGTCTTCCTGTTTTTGATCTAAAGTTATTTGTTTAGGCAACACAATAGAAGCTTCAGAAATCTGTGGCGTCTGCTCATTTCTTATTGTTGAAACTGCTGATTCTTGTCCTGAATTCACCGGTGATGCAATACTTTTTCCGGACGCAGGAACCCCGCCAGTCCTTCTCTGGTCATCATTGCCCGTGGAGGCATTCCCCTTTTCAGCAGCAACCCCAGAATCGGCCACCGACACAACCGCCGCAGCACCGCACCATAGCACGCAGAGGGCACACACCAGCAGCACACGGCCAGTCATCATCATCGCCATCACTCCTGTCACTTGCGTGTAGCCTTCAGCACAAACTAACAACACGTCAACGCAGAGTGAAAGCAAAAAGGAGACAAAGAAAAGTCACCCAGCCACGCACCGCACAGTCACAAATGGCAGCAGCCCAGCAGCAGCAGCGCACACACACCATGAGGCAGTTGAAATCAGTGAAAGGGCAAAAACACACAACGCCCCGCAGCAAGTAAACAGAAAAAACACCCAAAACAATTAAAACCAAAACAAAAGTAATCAAACAGCAATAAAGCAAAACAGTAAAAAAAAATGCGCCCAAGTGCCTCCAGTGCGCATGCACCTATCCTCAACAGTGCGTCCACGCAAACAGTTGTACGCGTGTATATGAGTGTGACTGAGACGCGTTCAACGTGGCGGATGTGGGAAGCATCGCGGAGCACACAGCAGGTCAGCGGAAGCAAACAAAGCAAAAACGATCATCATAATTACTCTTACTTTATACATCGGACCACAGTAGAAGTACACATGTCCCCGTGGCTGAGTGCTGGCACGCACAGCCCACGCTCCCTTTTAGCCCACAGCGGTGCACGCCAGCGCGGATGCGGCGAGCAGCAGCGGGGCACACACCCACGCAGAGCTGCTGAGGCTGCCGTCGATTTCACGAAGATGTGACGGTGCGCGGGTGGTCGTCGTGGTTGACGCCTCTGTCGCAGCGGCCCTCATCGTGGTAGGCATCGTATTTGGTGTCTGTTCCTCAATTGAGTTCTCTGGCGCAGCAGCCTCATAGTTGGTTCCATTTTTGTGTCGGAATTACGTGGTGTCTCTCCCGCACTTGCAGTATCTTTTCCCTTCATCGCAGGGGAGTTCTTACTTGGTGCTGGCGCAGCAACCGGGAGAGTTGTTCCTCCTGGCATGCCTAATGGACCTGTTGCTTTTGTCGTATCATGATTCGTACTTACTTCCGTTGGTGGAGAGGGCGGTAAACCGTGTCCAATTGTTTGCTGTTCCTTCCTGGAAACGGTTTCTTCGTGCACCGTAATGGAATCACTTAGTGACTGATCCGTTTTGTTCTTCAACCGTGTTCCGTCTCGCGTGCCAGACTCAGTGGATCAGTCATGCGTAAGTGTCGCACCTATTCCTTCAGGAAACAAAAGACGGTAGACTGGAGTCTTCATTATCGTTAGCTTTAATTTTGCCTGCATTCTTTGGGCCATCCTCAGTTTGTTTCCTTGGCACAGGAAGAAGTGGACTGGGGCTTGCAACACCTTCTTCACCTGCTGTCACGCACACGGAAGTGCAGCAGCAGCACGAGAGCGCAAGGAACTGCACGGCGCACACCACACGGAGCCGCACCGTCACCATCGCAGTCATCGTCACCCGTAGTGGAGTCGCTGCAGTCAGTGAGCCGATCCGTGAGCCAGAAGGAAAAGGAATGGAACAAGAGGGAGAGGGACGAAGTGCAGCGGATGCAGCGAGAGAGAGCAGACAACATGAGGAGAGGGCAGCAGGCCCAGCCGCACAGTTCACACACCACGAGACGGCTTCCACGCAACGAAGGCACACAACGCCAGCAGCCACCCACCATGCAGGAGGAGAAGACATCCACCACCATCTCCCCCAGCTCATCGCTACAGCCCCAGGGAAATGGCAAAAACCCGCGGCCACCACACAACACACACGGAGCGAGCAAACCCTCACACCAGCCACACGCGCCAGTGGACCCTCATCCATCCATGACGCGGCAAAAAAATTTCCTGCCATCCCGCCCTCAATGGGACACGGAGCCCAACTCAGCGCAGTCACACGCGGTGCATCACACCCGCAGGAAAAGAGACTCGGGCTGCGCACTCCCTCTCCTCCCTTCGCCTCATGGCCACGGAAGAAGACAACAGCCGCCACACGCAACTGCCAGCATGCACTACAAAAGGAGCATTCAAATCCACTGCAATGTGCATCTTGTGTGTGTGGTTGTGTGTGCCTGCGGAAACACAAAGCAAATAAGTAGAAAAGAGGGAGCAGAGTATGTGGAGAGACGCACAACAAAAATGTACAGCAGAGACGCGTGGCGGAAACAACGAGAAGAAGACCGCTCAAACTCATGACCGCACTGCAGCCCAAGCAGCGGCAATCCACACAAGATTTATTTAAAACAAAAAGAAAACCATCCCCTTCGTCTTATATAAACCCCATCACACAAAATAATTATAAATGAAAAAGAAATCGTCCATTACTGTTTCACACAAATTTAAAAATCGCCTGGCTGCCGTGTGGCCACACCAAACTGTCTGTATATATTTTGCCCGAAAAGAAAATTGAAAAGATGGTTGCGTGTGCTTCAACCGTCTGACCCTCCATGTGTCCGCACATCGTTTATATTTCATGGAGTCATCTGCGTGTTGCTGCTCCCCTCAGCCCTCTCATCGGCGTGCGAGTGCGGCCCGCAGAGCACAGTCACTCGTGTGTGTGGGGACTGAGAGAAGCACGCAGACATGACGGGAGTCGCGTCTCTCCATCGGGAGAGTGAGCGCAGCAAAGGAAAAGAAAAATCATCAGGAGGGAGAGAAATGCTGACAGGACTGCCAGCGCGTGAAATGAACACGAAAAGCAAAAAAAGAAAAACACGGCGGCAGGGTGTGGCTGTGTGTGTGTGGCGCTGCGGGTGTCTGCCCGCACTGGCCGCAAAGAAAACAAAACAAGAGGGAAAGAAATGTGTGCTCCGCCCCACCGGCCCTCGCCGCACGCCCACACGTCACGGCTCCCTCAGCGCGCCGTTCGTCGCGGCCCCTCCTCATGCGTGCAGCAGGCGAGGCGCACAGGGCCGTCGTCATGAGCGTGTCGGTGGGTGTGCGAGTGGAGCAGTTGGGCGGGAAACACACGGCACCCCTCACAGGAAGAGTGCAGAAGAAACAATTAAAAGAGGGAAGAGTAGAAATGAGAAAAAACGTCCATAGTGATTGCCCCAAAAGCAAAAAAGAGAAGAGATGGGGAGTAAAAGATTAGAAAAAAGAAAAAGAAAAAATTAAAGAAAATTAAAACATCAAAAAATGAAAAAAACTCACTATGCCCCAAAGGAAGTAAAAAACAAGGAAAATGAACACAAAAAACAAGTAACAACAAAACAACAGCAGAAAAAAAGAAAGAAAGTAAAAATAAGTAAAAAAACAAAAAACACAAGGAGCTGCAACGAATGGCTCCAGTGTGCATGCACCAGCTCACACAGAAATGCGTCCACTCAAGCAGTTGTGGGCGTGTCGTGCATATGAGTGTGTCTGGGATGCGTGCCAAGTGACGGATATGGGGAGCAACAACATGGAGCAAAAAGCAGCGCAGCAGAAGCAAATGAAGCAAAAAAAAAAAAGCAATCATTATTTTCTATTATTTATTACGTAAAAAAAAACAAAAGAAGCGCTCAAATCCCCTGTGGCTGAGTGCTGCAACTTATAACCCGCATGCAATTCTTCAGCCCACTATCCCGTACGTGAGCGCAGCAAGAACAAGCAGTGGCAGGGTATGCAGATGGGTGTTATGGAAGCAGGCGTCAGTTCCCACACTGTTATCCAGCGCGTTCGTTGGGGGCGCAGAGGAAAGGGGAGCCGGCATGCTTGCCGCCGTAGAATTTCCTTCACCGGAAGCAGTGTCGGTGGTGTTGGCGGCGGTGTCCTCTTCGGCGCCTCCCGCTGCACCCCCGTCCTCGCCGTTCTGGGACAACTGAGTCGGTGGCGCAGCAGCACTCTCTTCCTGCAGCTCCACTGGAGGGTCATGGGAGGAGTGGCCGCCTCTCTCTGTGAGCTTTGGATCTGGTGGGGATTCGGGTGCAGCAGAAGCAGCAGAAGCAGAATGTGCAGCGCCTTGAAGTTCACCAGAGAGAGCGGAATCCGGTGCTCCCAAGGCCGCAGCAGAAGGATCCGTCGTGGCCGAAGCGCCAGCAGCAGAGTTGGCACTAGCGCCGCCTGGAATTGCAGGTAGAGGAGGAGGGACATCCGCAAACTCAGCGACAGCAGGAGAAGATTCGGAATTTGTTGTGGAGGAGTCAAGAGAATCCTCGTGTTCTTGAGACCCCGGAGTACCTGCTGCAGGAGGTTTGACCAGACCACCTTCAACGGTGGCGGCCTTCTCCACGTTACGCTCCCACCAACTCTCCAGGATGCTTGGAGTGGGCGTATCGACGTTGATTGTGAAGACGCCATCCTTCGCACTATCTTTGGCGCGCGTCTGTGAAACCCCGGACGCACAGTTTCCGACGCCCATGTCGCAAATCACCTTACCCACACCAGTAGATAAGTCCGTGCAGTTGTACCACAGTGACTTCCCACGGAGTTGCCAACGCCCAACTTTGCCACCAACATCCGCACACTCTGCATCCACCTGAAGCACCTGCGGCTCCTCCTCATCCCCCGCGGCAAAGACGCACGAGCAGCAGCACAGCAGTGCCAGCACCAACAAGACACAGAACACACGGCACATCAGCATCAAAACCATCGCTGTTGAATAACGTGGATTCGATCTACAGGAGCATGAGAAAGGAAGTAGAGAGCGACAGCAGCTACACCACGCACAGCCACCGCATTGTAATAAATGGCAGCAGCCAGAGGAAGCGCACACCAAAAAAGACAGACGGAACCATTACAACTGCAAAACTCGCACACCTCCACACAAACCAAAACTTAAAAAGGCGGAAAAAACAAAACAAAAAAGAAAAATGATGGGAGTCCAACAAAACTCCCAAAACTTTTAAAAACATCAATGGGGCAGCACTTTTATTTCTTATGCTAAGCAGCACAAGACAACCGTGTGTGTCTGCGTATACATATTGCCCTCACCAAGAAGAGAAATAAAATTAAAAAAGATCGTCCTGTTCCATATGGCCACACAACATCCTTCACATTTCATGCGGCATCCGGCCTGTTCCTCCAATCCTCCTTTCGTGCAGTCCGTGGGACGAACAGCAATGAGGCCGGCACCGCGTGTGGGCAACAAAACAAAGAGGGGGAAACACTTCGCTCATTACAGTGTGCAGCAACCAAACATTAAATAAAGAAAGGGTTGCTTATCATTCCAGGAAAACAACAAAACCAAAAATAAGTAATTAAAAATTAACACGCAGGGAACGCAGCACATGTTCTCCGTGAGGAGTCGCAATTCCACACTCTTCGGCTCAAAAGACCGCCACAACTCCACACAATCCCAGAAGAAGCAGCAGCAGCACCCAATACACGCACACACGCACAGTGCCGTCAACAGTTAACTCTCGCAGTGTCAATTTCGCGTCGTAGAGCAGGGCAAAGCAGTCGTCGGGACTCGCACCGTTTCCGGAATACTGCGCGGTGAATTGTCGCAATTGCGGTTTGTTCTCCTGTCCAGAGGCATTGCGTTGAGTCAATCCGTCCGCATCACCCTCAGCAACAAATCCACTGCCCGCAACGCCATTTTCTAAAGAAAGGAGTTTTTTGCCGAGTGGCGTTGCGCTCACTCACCTCGTACGTGTTATCCGCAGCAACGTGTTCCCTGCCGCCATAAGTGACAGACATGATCCCGGATGCATTCGGCGCCACTAATATTTTCGGACCGTTGGCAAATGAAGGCCTCTTCTTGGATGCATTCGGGACCATCATTTCGCTCGGATTGGCGGCAAACTCAGGCTTTTTCTTAGGCGTGTTGGTCGCCGTGTTGGATGCAGGACTCTGGTCGACGGTGTTGGGTGCGTCAGCCGCGGCAGACTGTCGCCAATCCTCGTTCTGACGTGACGGCTCAGCATTCACTTGCGGCGCAGTTGTCCCGCCAGATTTTGTGTCATCCTTCCCTTCACGGGGCGGCGGCAACTGACAGATGCCCGTCCGGCCAGCATCGCCGCTCCGTGCAGGCGGATGGATGGTTCCATCGGGAGAAAATTGACGCCACCACAATTCATAAGGGCCGGCGTATTTATGTGTCGTCACATTCATCGTGAAGGCAACGGTGGCCCCTTCCTCTTTCATTGCACAGCTGGCAGCACAGTTGCTACATGTGTGCACCGCATTGGCCACATGGCACACAGCACCCAGTTCACCATCTCTGCTATGCATGCGCACATCAAAGCCACTGAAAGTATAATTCTCATGCTGAGCCTCAGCACTGGCAGCAGAACACTTCTTCCACGCCCACAGACACACACACACACACGCGATAGCTCGGGCTGCCGTCACTCGGAGCACACGACACATCCACCGGCACAACCACCGCATCCGCATCACCAGATACATGTCCAGGACTCCCAGCAGCCGTCACACCCACAGAATTGCAGCAGCAGCAGCAGCACGAGAGCGCAACTGCCAGCATGCACTACAAAAGGGAGCATTCAAATCCACTGCAATGTGCATCGTGTGTGTGTGTGGTTGTGTGTGCCTGCGGAAACACAAAGCAAAGAAGTAGAAAAGAGGGAGCAGAGTATGTGGAGAGACGCACAACAAAAATGTGCAGCAGAGACGCATGGCGGAAACAACGAGAAGAAGACCGCTCAAACTCATGACCGCACTGCAGCCCAAGCAGCGGCAATCCACACAAGATTTATTTAAAACAAAAAAAAGTCCCCTTCGTCTTATACAAACCCCATCACACAAAATAATTACAAATGAAAAAGAAATCGTCCATTACTGCTCCACACAAATTTAAAAACCGCCTAACGGCCGTGTGGCCACACCAAACTGTCTGTATATATTTTGCCCGGAAAAGAAAATTGAAAAGATGGTTGCGTGTGTTTCAACCGTCTGACCCTCCATGTGTCCGCACATCGTTTATATTTCATGGGGTCATCTGCGTGTTGGTGCTCCCCTCAGCCCTCTCATCGGCGTGCGAGTGCGGCCCGCAGAGCACAGTCACTCGTGTGTGTGGGGACTGAGAGAAGCACGCAGACATGGCGGGAGTCGCGTCTCTCCATCGGGAGGGTGAGCGCAGCAAAAAAAAAAAAAATCATCAGGAGGGAGAGAAATGCTGACGGGACTGCCAGCGCGTGAAATGAACACGAAAAGCAAAAAGTTAAAAACACGGCGGCAGGGTGTGGCTGTGTGTGTGTGGCGCTGCGGGTGTCTGCCCGCCCTGACCGCAAAGAAAACAAAACAAGAGGGAAAGAAATGTGTGCTCCGCCCCACAGGCCCTCGTCGCACGCCCACACGTCACGGCTCCCTCAGCGCGCCGTTCGTCGCGGCCCCTCCTCATGCGTGCAGCAGGCGAGGCGCACAGGGCCGTCGTCATGAGCGTGTCGGTGGGTGTGCGAGTGGAGCAGTTGGGCGGGAAACACACGGCACCCCTGACAGGAAGAGTGCAGCAGGAAACAATTAAAGAGGGAAGAGTAGAAAAGAAAAAAACGTCCATAGTGATTGCCCTCAAAAGCAAAAAAGAGAAGGGATGAGGGAGTGAGAGATGAAAAAAACAAAAACAAGAAATGTAAAAAACTTAACGCACATAAAGCAAAAAGTGAAAGTTAACACATAAAAGTTATTTAGGAAGAGAAATTCATTGCCAGGTGTGTGTGTCGGTGCAGCGGAGGTCGTAATTGTTTTCATGCGGCAGCCAGTCACTCCTCACACATCCGCAAACCCCCACAGTCCCAACAGAAGGAGCAGCGATGGCAGCAGTTCGCTACCACGCACAGTGCCAGCATCACCTGTTGCTTCTCCAGCGGCATGGGAGTTCGAAGCCGCCGCCTTCTCCACACTTCCCTCCGATGTATTCGCCGGCGTTTCTTGTGTAGTGGCAGATTCCCGCACCATCGTATTTTTTTGTGTTTCACTCTTTTGTGGAGACTGCTGCGAGGTCGTTTGCTCCACTGGAACGTCAGGAAGTTCACCTGCAGGAGCCGCCGCATTTTGATCCCTTGCCACAAATGGATAAGCAAGTTCCGCTGATGGTTCCTGATCCGCTGATGGTGAATCGGCATCTTCTTCCACCTCGGCATTCCCACCTGAAAAAGTCAACGGACGGTTGTACAGCAGGACGTTCGTCACGGTCACAGACACGTCTTCTTTGCTCCCTGCACTGCTTCCATCCCCTCCAATGTAGAAGTGGGAGATCCCTTTCGAATCCGTATTATCCAAGCTACGTTGCACATCCCCACACACACGCTTACCATCGACGTACGCAAAGCCCTGGTTGCCGTTCCGTAACACAATGGCCACTTGGTACTGTGTCCATGTCTCCCAAGTACTTTTGAGCTTCTTGATCTTGCCGTCACTGCAAAGCACCCACCACTTCTTTTCACTGTCATATGACAACTCCATAAGTTTGTCTTTACCCTCCAGATGCACACCCATCAATGGAATGGGGGTATCTCCCTCTGGCTCACCGTCAATGGACACCGTCGCCACAAGAGTGAAGTTGTAGTTCGCGAAGTGGTACAGCTGATTCTCCCCCTGCCTGCCAACGGGCCACTCCGCCCACGCTCCCTGGAACGTCACCCCATCAAAAGCCTCTGTTGCCCCACCTTTATTATTTACTGTGGCGTTCACCCCGAGGTACTCGTCCCTCCATGTGTTCTCAGAGAAGTTGCCGGACAAAAAGCCAACCAGCCCATCCGTGATCTTAACAGTAGTGCTGCAGGCAGGGATTGTCAGGTGAGGTATCCTCCTCAGCAAGTAAGGTGGTGCACAGCTGGGAGACAGTGTCGTCCACTTCCTTCCACGTCTTCAGCACCTTCTTCACCCGCTGCAGCTGCGCAGTCAGACGCACAGTAACCATATCATGTGATAGTTTGTGATTAACTTTCTTCTTCTTCTCGTACAGTGCAATCAGCTCCTCCTGATTATTATTATCTCCACCTTTGTACAACAGGGAGCTGGTGGTGACGTCATCATCTTCCCCAGATACCGGCCCAATATCAGCAATGTGCGTGTTGTCCGTCAGCCAAAGATGGAGTTCACCCTTTTCGTTTTTTTCTTCCTTACTCGAATACACCGGCAGAGTGACGAGCATCACTTTTTTATTATCATCAATCGTCGCTGTGATGAACCCGCTTTTAACGCCCTTCTCAGATCCCTCGTCGTTGCCCCACACGCGCGAGAGTGTCCCGAGTGCCTCCGTCCACGAATCCCCCTTGTCACCGGACTCGTACACCCTGCGGCGGCCATCATCACACGCAGTCATCATCATGAGTTTGTCCTTCCACTCCACGACGGAGGGATCACCGCAGCCATCGGCAGACATCCCCTTCGACAGCTTCCAACTCTTATTATCCGGGAAGTATATGAACAGAGAAAAAGTGTATCCCCCCCCAGCTGTATTTTCTTCATCCGCCTTCCCCGTCCTATACTCCTCGCCTTCCATAGGGAACAAAAGTGTACCGTCCTCCATCTTAACACCCGATCCACCGCTCCCAAGCGGTGCTGTCACATATCCATATTGTTCGGTATTAGAAGTGATCGGGAGAGCGTCAACATCAGTCCAATAAATTCTTTTGTTACGGCCATCCTCATCAACACTGACGTTCCCTCTCGCCAGCAAAAGTCCCC